GTTTGTTAGGATAGGACAATATCTGGCCGAGATACAACAATCTGGAATCTGAGGATGCAAAAAAATGTAAATATTGGGAAAATCTCCTTTAAAGTTGTCCAGATGAAGTTCTTAGCAATGCATCAAAAATTAAGTTTTAATATATTTACTGTAGGAAATTTACAAAATATCTTCATGGAACATGATCTTTACTTATCACAAGACATTAATTGATGGACTGGAGTGGTGTGGATTACTTATGGATTATTGTGATGTTTTTATCAGCTGTTTGGACTCTCATTGTGACGGCACCCATTCACTGCAGAGAATCCATTGATAAACAAGTGATACAATTTTAAAATATCTCCAAATCTGTTCTGATGAAGAAACAAACTCATCTGCATCCTGGATGGCCTGAGGATGAGTAAACTGTCGGCAAATTTTCATTTTTGGGTGAACTATTCCTTTAAAAAGCTTTGATATCCCCCCAAATAACTTTAATGTAATTAACTGCTTTGATCAGAAGCTAATATTTACCTTTGTCAATCTGAACTATTGGAAATCATGAGTAGCTTGTAGTTTGTCAAGTAGAATAGTTTCCCCAACAGTAGAGGCGATCGATATTCTGCTTAAAAAAAACCAGGTGTACCTCACATATCTCTCAATCTGCTTAATTACTGCCTAATTGATTACTGAGAGATAGCTTTGTAAACCATCAAACGCTGGTGTCAAGCAAGAGCTCAAGTGCGTATCCATGGAGAAAGATGGGCGGTATGTGCGCGCACACAGTTTGCACACACAGTACGTCAACAAGTGCCAACTATACACTGGCAGGAACAGCTGTAATGGTATAGTGCCACAGAATAATTAGACTCAGAATGAACTGATTAGTATGTGTGTGTGTTGGCGTATTTCAAAAGGGCTTTGCCGAGACCTGCCCACACTGGGGTTAATAGAATGACATTACTGCCGCCATTATTTTTAGCATTAGTGCGAATAGCACTAATATCACTAATCGTTACTCTAATGGAAACATCAGCTGGCAAAGGTCCAGTGTGGAAATCCAGCTAGCTGCATTCAAACATATGAACATATAAAAAAAAAAAAATCATAAAAAGCACATTTGTGTTTTAGTTTGGTACAGTCAGGTATATTACATTATTAAACATTTATATATAATATAAACAAAAAAATTAATTATAAATATATTTTATTATATTCCTGTTGCTGCATTTTCATTAAAGCAGTACGCCACAAGGAATGTGCATTTTCAATTAGGGCTGTGCAATTAATCGCATGCGATTGTCATGCGCATCTTGTCAGTAAAGCCGGTTCCGTGATTAGTAGTAAATCGCCATCACCTGCTTTCAGATGGAGTGGCATTTAATACACAGAGCCATAGATCACTGCTATATCACGTTCATAATTGCACTAGGCAATATCGCGTTCATAATCGAATGCGATTCATCTGCGATTATGGGCTCAGGGTCAGCGTGGCTGGAAAGTGTCTCCATTTCTACATAATGTGTCCACAGAGCTTAATTACAGACGTGCGAGCAGGCATGCATACCCTGTTGATGAGTTCCCCCACCATGCCAGTCCATGAGCCATTAGGTTCTGGAGCTCCATACAGCCTGTCATCCACCAGCTTGATCCGGAAGGAAAACTTCAGAATGTCTGCCAGCTCCTGCAGCATATCCACACAGAATCCCTCGTACTGATCGTTACCCTGGAAGTCCTGGTAGTGCGCCTTGCGCTTCACGTATGGATCTTCCTATAAAACAGGACGAAGGTAACATTTAACGCTCTAATATTCCACTCTCAATTTCTATACAGTGAAGCACCATAAACTCAATGAAAGGCAATAGCCATGCAGTTTAAGTGGCATTTTGATTGGTGTTAAGCCATGAAATGGCAGTAAAATCCAATGAAACGGTGCTTCTGTGGCCTTGACATGTGGAAGTTCCTTTTTGGCTGCAGCTTCCTGGTTTGAATGTATTATATCTTCTACAGTATGATGTCGCCTCTGGATAGCAAACCTGTTTTCTTCATTTTGCAAGCACATGATGCAAATAAGATGGTTAATAATGAAGGGATGACTTGGTATTCCATGTGGTTGTTTTGATTTGTTTTTCCAAAAAAAAAAACAAAAAAAAAAACCCGGAAGAAATATAAACAGTAAAATATTTGAAAACAATTAGAGTCTGATACAGTTTTTATGTTATTAGGAATTGCTTAAATGTGTTTGTTGCCTGGAAGCAACATTGTATGATAGTGGAATGAATAATGATGCAGTGAATGTGGATGCTTTCAATGAAGCTTCTATAGAAAATATTGCAACTATCATTATGTTGGTTTTAATTTACATTCCACTTTTTTTTTTTTATAATTTGACATATTTCAGAGTGAAATGAGAAAAAATGCAATGCAGTTCTCTGTGCTATCCATCTGGAATTGATAGGCTGCTGAGATGTAGGCGTTATATACCAGAATGAAATGAGACTGACAGCTGGTATAGAAATTATTGCTAAAAACAATGTTTATTAACATCACCTTGGTTAATATCATCCAATAGCCCGAGCTAAAAAAAATGTGCACTGATGAATTTTCCATAATAAGACTAAGAAAGAGCATTAAGAAAGTAAATAAAATCAATTTTGATTTGATGTTGATTTTAACATGACTTTAATAATGCATTCGACAGAACAATGTAGGTTTGCCTAAACACCTACCTTGTGATGGCATGAATGAATCTAGTCTTAAAAGGGATATTTCACTCAAAATTAATAATTTTCATCATTCACTCACCCTCCACTTGTTCGAAATCTGTATGAATTTCTTTTTTCTGTTGAACTCAAAAGAAGGTATTTTGATAAATGTTGGTAACCAAACTGTTGATGGTATGGAAGTCAATGGCTACCAGCAACTGTTTGGTTACCAACATTCTTTTTGTGTTGAACTGAAGAAAGAAACTCATACAGGTTTGGAACAACATGAGGGTGAGTAAATGATGACATAATTTTCATGTTTGGGTGAACTATCCCTTTAATTTATGTTTTGAGATTTTCAAGTTGGAATCTAGTAAGCTCTTACAATCATAAACCCAAGAAACAACATTTTTACACTGTATATGCTCTGTGTAGACAAGCAAGGCTTTTTAATTCTCTCATATCCTCCCTGCTTTAAATAATGCATTACTTTTACAAACATCTATAGAGTCCATAATATCATTTACGACACCTTAATGCACAATTGGGTTTAGAGAGGTGCTCTAAAAAGGTTTTGCCTGTTCATGTGCAAGATTTAAATATGAAAAGCTTGTACCAGTGAGTGCCAAATCTGTAAAACCCCTATAATTCACAATTATCTCTGGTCTGAAATGCTCCTGCCAATATACTACCACAAGGCCAATGGAGTCATATCTGGAGAAGTTCTTACCAGTATCGTGGTGACGATGAGCGTCTTGTTAGCTAAAGTCTCAGATGCGTTGATGTCTAAAGATGTGGAGTTCATAGCCAACGTGTTATTGGAGTACCAGACACCGATCTGCACATGTGAAGTAAAAAAAATGCATTATTTTAATAACAAAGACTAAGCACAGTTAGGACTACGTTCATGAACAAATCTTCGCTGAAAGAGCTAAATCATATAAAATCATTTGCAACCCATTTAAAAACATGTTTGATCTCGCAGGGGGGAAACCAGCAGGAATAAACGAGTTGAGCGAATAAGACGAGGGGATGAAGGAGAGATAAAAGAGCATGAAGTGAGGGATCAATACTATGATCAATAAGAGAGGAGTGAAGTGGTGATTACTCCAGCTACCACCCATTCATTAGACCTCACAACCTCTCCCGTGATTCTGGATAAAATCCGGAGTTAGTGTCCATGAGAATGAGTTTATGTGGGTGTGTGTGTGTGTGTGTGTGTGTGTGTGCATTACCTCTTTGTGACCCCCCTTGAAGTTCTCAAGAATACGCAGCGTGTAATTGGTCCTCTGGCCTTTGCTGTTAAACTCCACGCGGCCTGTTAGGCCATCATACTCTATCTAAAATGAAAGAGAGAGAGAGAGGGGATTTAAACCAAGGGTAACAAACAAGAATGACAAATACCATTAATTTTGACCTACAATATTAAGGTATAGTAATTATGGCGCAGGCGGAGAAAAAGAGAGAGACAGCCAGAGGACAAACTTTGAGATGATTAAGAAAGTTAAGGTGAAGAGTCACTTCTGCTCCACCAGCATCACCAAATGCAATCGCAAAAGTAATGACTGTTTTCATTATTATTGGCAAGGGAGGTAAACACTTGGAGTTATGGAGACAAACCGAGAATGGCAGACGAGAGGAGGTGCCAAATGGAGTGCTGAAATGATGGAGTGATGGACAAACTGCAAAACAGATGGAGGGACACAATGAATGAAAGAGTGCACTAGACAACACAAACACCATCTAGGATCTCACAGTGTATAATAGCTGCATTAAAATAATAAAATACAAGCAGACCTTCAGACAGGTTGCAATAAACAATGCACATCTGGTGTTAAGGGCACAGTTAATAATTGCTCTGAAACTAATGTCAGTTGTAAAATTACTGTGGCTGGGTTTAATCATCACAGAGGACATAAAAGTCATGCTGCATTGGTCATCATCAGGGCTGTCAATGGACAGGGCAACTAGAAACATTGTCCTGGGCTCCGTGACAAGGGCGGCCCATTAAGCACTCCAGCTACTTGTGAAAAAAATGCATTTATTTAAAAAAATTATCATTAATTTGTTGTATAAATAAAAAGATGTTTTGTGGTTGTAGTAGCATATGAGACCTGTGAATTCAATTCAGCAAGATTCTAATTGAACTTGAATTATATTATAATAATTTTATTAGAATTTTGTGTCATTCAATTGAATTATTAATTTTACATATTTAATTATATATATTTAATAGTGACGTGACATGTGGCCAAGTATGGTAACCCATACTCGGAATTAGTGCTCTGCGTTTATCCCATCCAAAGTGAACACACACAGCAGTGAACACACACACACCGTGAACACACACCCGGAGCAGTGGGCAGCCATTTTTTGCTGCGGCGCCCGAGGAGCAGTTGGGGGTTCGGTGCCTTGCTCAAGGGCACCTCAGTTGTGGTATAGAAGATGGGAGAGAGCACTGTACATTCACTCCCCCTACCAACTCTCTAACCATTAGGCCACAGCTTCCTGTACATATATATATGGGAGAGAGCACTGTACATTCACTCCCCCCACCAACTCTCTAACCATTAGGCCACAGCTTCCTGTACATATATATAAAAGTTGGTACATTTGCTGTTGTTATTGCCATTTTCTGCATAGTTTTACAGTGTTTTCTGCATAGCTAAACTGTGCTAAATGTTTCTTGATGATGTTAAATGATGCTCAGCGACACTTAATGCACAATAATGCATTAGCCAAGGGTTAGATTGAAAAGCAACCGTCATAAACTCTCTGCATCTTGTTTATCGACGCCAAGGGGCCGCTGCAATGATTACAAATAATTTTTTTTCCATAACATGCACTGATGAACTGTGCGCAACGAGACTGGGAACTAATGTTGAGAAAGTAAATAAGGTCAATTTCAATTTCATGTTGACTTTAACAGAGCCTATAAAAGCCAATAAGCAGCGGCAAGTGGAATCACATCAACATAAAAACCAGATTAAAACAAGGACACTGATGATTAGGCTTCTAAAGCTCATCAGAGACGACACAAGCATCAAAGTGACATACAGTAACAAAAGCCATAAAGACTAAACACTAAAGTCATCAAATGCAGCAGTCAGAAAATGGCTGCCAACGGGGTAGCCATGGTGACACGTACCATGCGCAGATAGTTCATGAGACTTGTGCCGTGCTGCCAGATGAGTGGAGACGTGCAACTCAGAGGCTTCACTCCGATCTCCTGACTGCGGTTCAGTTCTCGCACCGCTCCGACCACCACATGCACTGCGTCGAACATCAGTGCAGATGACAACTGTAGGTGGTGAGAGAGCATGAAAGAAACGAGACGAGAGATACACCAAGGCAAAGATAGAAAGAAAGAAGAAGAAAAAGAGAATAAAGGAAGGCAGAATTGAGAAAGACAGCAAATGAGGTCATTAGGGGGAGAAGGAGACTTCACATTTGTTACAGCCCTACAGCAACTGTCTTCCTAACAGAGGTTCCTAAATTGCGTTGTGTGGCTCACATCCTATTTGGACACATTGGAAAAAGCCTTCTGGCAGAAATAACATCTCATTATTCCATAGATTTAGTAGTTACTATGGTTTATAGTTCGCAGTTTCAGTGTCAATCAAATTACTGAAATTATGGAGGCTCTTGGAAATTGAAAAGCATTTTCGATGCAAACGTAACTAAATACATTAGCGTTACTCATATACATCTCCTGACAGATGAAGTTTTAATTGCTTGATTTAAAAATGTTAACAAACTCATAACCTCTCACACTTAAAGTAACACAACAGCTTATATACAGGTAGGCTTAAAGGACTTGTGTCCTAAAGCTGAATTGCCCCTGATTAATATATTTGTGAGTTGCAATGTTTCTCATATATTATTTTGTAAGAAAGTATATCATTGTAAGCTCACCGCTGGACCAGGGTAGGGGCTGAGGTCACAACCTTCCCTCCATGACAGATTTAGACTCCTGATGAACTCTAGGTAGAAAGGATGACTGCTGTTCAACATGGAGAAGCCAATGATATTTGACTGATCATCTACCACATCATCCAACCTCAACAGAGGGAAATCCTGAGAGAGAGAGAGAGAGAGAGAGAGAGAGAGAGAGAGAGATATTATAACACCTTTATTTAATACAAAACATCAAATGAAAAGAATACCAAATATACAAATTACTACATTACATTCCCCGTTACAAACCTCACAACAGTTTACTTAAATTCTTCAACAAAAAGCAACGCATCTATTTCAGTACAGCACATTTTTTTCTACACTCCAAACCCCTTCAAACCTCCTAGTTTTTCCCATATGTGAATAAATAAATCAATTTGTGTTTTATTCTTGCCTTTATAAGCCCCTTGAATGACAATTCAACATTTTTTTTTACTGTCATAAACAATTCTATGTTTCCTACTAATGTAGACTTGACCTAAAATAAAGCTTAAAGGGATAGCTCACCCAAAAATGAAAATTCTGTCATCATTTACTCACCCTCAAGTAGTTCCAAACTCGTATAAATTTCTTTGTTCTGCCGAACAGAAAGGGAGATATTTTGAAGAAAGTTTGTAACCAGGCTGTTTTGGGGCACCATTGACTTCCATAGTAGGAGAAAAAAATACTATGGAAGTCAATGGTGCCCCAGAACTGCTCTGTTTCCCACATTCTTCAGAATATCTTCCTTTGTGTTCTGCAGAACAAAGACATTCATACAGGTTTGAAACTACTTGAGGGTGAGTAAATGATGACAGAATTTTCATTTTTGGGTGAACTATCCCTTTAACGAAGGTAATTTCTTCTTTTTTGCTTTGCAATATTTAAAACCAAAAATAAAAACAGGGAAATCCTGAGAGAGAGAAAGAGAGAGACCAAAGTACTGTGGACATACAATGCTGTGGTTTTGCCATTGAGATATAGCTTAATTAAACCTTTAATTAACAACTACAAAAGAGCAAATTATTGGTATTGTGTTAAATGAACACTTTTTAGGTCGCCATCAGTGGCGCTGACACACGAGTCTGTCTTGGTGCGCATGCACAGTCCTTTCCTCATCACCGAAAACAGGCGCGATGTTCCTATACTTACAGCGGTACCGCGATACAGGCGAGTGTTTAACAGTTAAAGTATAAAATACTCAGGGTTTTCTCACAGTATTTAGTATAAACCGTCATTTTTGTCAAACAGTTAACAAGTACTGCAAGGCAGCCTAGTTTGGCCGTTGTTTTATCATCCCGTTAGCGTGAGCTGAGGTGAGTTTCAATAAAGCAGACTTGACTTGACTTGATCAGTGGCGCTGACACACGAGTCTGTCTTGGTGCGCATGCACAGTCCTCATTACCGAAAACAGGCGCGATGTTCCTATACTTACAGCGGTACCGCGATACAGGCGAGTGTTTAACAGTTAAAGTATAAAATACTCAGGGTTTTCTCACAGTATTTAGTATAAACCGTCATTTTTGTCAAACAGTTAACAAGTACTGCAAGGCAGCCTAGTTTGGCCGTTGTTTTATCATCCCGTTAGCGTGAGCTGAGGTGAGTTTACTAGAATATTCTTTAACGCCTTGCCAACACTGCTTTAACGCTATAAATATTTAAATATTAATTTTAAGGATAAAAACTCGGTGTGTGTATTATTTAAAAGTATTATTAATATAGTAAAAGTGCTGTAATAGTTTGCCTATTGGAGAGAATATAGTTAAAGGGGTCATATGATGCGATTTCAATTTTTCCTTTCTCTTTGGAGTGTTACAAGCTCTTGGTGCATAAAGAAGATCTGTAAAGTTGCAAAGACTAAAGTCTCAAATCCAAAGAGATATTCTTTATAAAAGTTCAGAGTCAGCCACACCTACCTAACACAAAATAATGTTCTTTTTAGCAGCATCATATGACCCCTTTAATATTTTATTTACTGACGTTTAGTAGGCTATCATACAGGCTACTGGTGAAAATATGAGAACGGAATCATTGAATATTAATAACTTGTGGTTTTAGACTATTAACACTGCAACACAGTAAAGCTAAGTAGTAAGAGCTCTTAAAAGTAAAATGGAAACATATGTTTGACTTATTTGCAATGCCATCACTGCATTCATCCAGAGATTTGTCTTATCTTGGCTTATAATTATATAGTGTGACTTCAACCCTCTGAGATTGCAAACTTAAACATAGGTTTAATTTGAAGTAAAATCAAACAACATTTTCAACCATTTTAAATACTAATATACTGATTTGAAATCTCTGAAAATCTGGATTGAAATGACAGAAATGGATGCAAGTGACACTCAACATAATAAAACCATTTTTTACAGTGCATACTACAGTATAAAACTATATTACACATGTTTAGTGATTTCATTAATGTGTGTAGAGCTGCACGATTCTGGATAAATTGAGAATCACAATTTTTTTGTCTCAAATAGAGATCACGATTCTCCCACGATTCTGAACTAAACAAAATAATGTGTGGAAAAAAATATTATTGCTGCAGTCTATTTAAAAGTGTTTAATTAATTTGAATGAAGTATTAACCATTTTAATATACACTACCAGTCAAAAGATTTCGAACAGTAAGATTTTTAATGTTTTTTACAGAATTCTCTTCTGCTCACCAAGCCTGCATTTATTTGATACAAAATACAGCAAAAGCAGTAATATTGTGAAATATTTTTACTATTTAAAATAACTGCTTTCTATTTGAATATATTTTAAAATGTAATTTATTCCTGTGATAAAAGCTGAATTTTCAGCATCATTACTCCAGTCTTCAGAGTCACATGATCCTTCAGAAATCATTATAATATGCTGACCTTCTGTTCAAGAAACATTTGATTATTATTATTATTAGCAATATTTAAAACACTTGAGTACATTTTTTCAGGATTCTTTGATGAATAGAAAGATCAGCATTCATCTGAAATAAAAAGCTTTTGTAACATTATGCACTCTACCATTCAAAAGCTTGGAGTCAGTATTTTTTTTTATTTATTTATGTATTTTATTTTTTATTAATTTTTTTGGAGGGGGGATTATAGAAATTAATACTTTCATTTAGCAAGGATGCTTTAAATTGTCAATCAAGAGTGATAATAAAGGACTCACTCATAAACCTACTGGATGAATCAGCGTTTTTGAATGATTCTCTTGAATAAATGATTCATTCAATTATACATTTTTAAGTCACTTTTCACAATAATTAAACAATGCAATTGACACAAACGTTATGTGGCAGTTACTTTCAAACGCGGATTTGCTCTATTTTGGTCGCGCTACCATAGACATCAATGTTTATGTCTGAATTATAAACTTTCATCCCAGTATTTCTGTGATAATATGAATGACTGTACGACAGAAATAATACTGTGTAGTTGAAAAGACTGTGAAGCTGTTTCTTAACCAAACATGGTAACTGCTCTGTGTGACAGCGGCAGTGCGAACGCAGATTTGAATGATCCGGTAAGACTTTGTCAAAGGTTTAATAGACACGGGAGAATCGTTGTCATTTAGAAATGAGATCGTGTGGTTGTCTGAATTGAGATCGCGATCTTTTAACGATTAATCGTGCAACTCTAAATGTGTGCTTAACTCAAATGCAATATTTACATATCATTCTGAAAAGGTCTATGGGTTTTTAAAATAGCTATATTTGCCTGGCCAGTTAGAGTTTTTGCAAATACCCTGCTCCCTACGGGATTGGGAAAGCCCTCATCCATACATAAACAGTAATTTACTGAAGGCAATATTCAACCCAGCTAGAATTCCACTCAACGTAAGTGGTGCCCACTGGGAACGTTCAAGGAAAACATTAAAAATTGGCTCAAATTATTTTAGAAAAGGCATTATTTTAGCTGTCCTTGAGTATCAAGCCTTTCATCTTGTCTATCAAATCAATCAGCTCTTGTGCTTTGTTATTTACTGGCAAGTGGATAATCTCAAGAGGTACAGTAGGCAGTGAGTTTGTCAATGGTAAAGTCGACAAAGACTTTTTTCTATAGTCGTGTAGCAGCAGTAGGAAAGCTATTGGTGAATCCATCACTTGGTGCCCGAGCATAGCAGCTTTTAGATTATTTATCACAAACCGCTGCCATCTATATGGCAGCTGAAGGAGGATCCAACTCCACCTACTGTATAAAGACACCCATTCTGTTATTCATAAAGAGCTTCCCAATATGTCGACATACTGTATATTGATCCCCAAGAAGATTCCCAACACTTTAAGACCTTCTAGAGTTCAGGAGCATTTCAAGCGAAGCCGCATGTTCTTGTTCTGTCATTGACCCCTTCAGCAGCATTAGGCCTTTTGATTCCTCCTGAGGATGCTTGACGTAGAGTTTATGAATGGAGGTATGACAGATAACGTTACTGCCTTTGAAGGGCTTGATAAGTATCTTTCATCTTCCCTCTGCTCTCAATCAGATTGCTGACTATGTGAAACTGACAAGAAAATGACCTCATTCAATACGCAGACTTCATTTTAGAGACTGCTACTGAAAGCCATCACTCAACAGCCACCAAAGAATCTAGTATACATTTGCAGTATTGCCTGGAGGTTGTCTGCATTTGTCCCTGTTCGTAGGAAAAAGCTTGCCAAAGTCATATTAATAAAAGACTAAGCTTGAATTTGAAAGCTCAAATGAGAGGTTTTAAGATAGAGAGGAAAAAAAGAAATAGACTGAATTTCATTTTAATCACACTTAATAAAAAATGTACATAGACATTTCATTATGATGCCATAATGATACTTAAAAATGGTGCATTACTAAATTAAACATTCACAATAAAATGTAATTCAGCTCATCTTCTTTCATACTCCTGTTCGTGTATCTTTAGACTTTTTTCGTTGGCACACTCTCAGCTAAATTGCCGACTTCCTGCAGAGTGAGCTCTGGCTCCCTCCCAAATCCAGAAAGAAATAAAAAATGCAGGTTAAACATCTGTAATCTCTAAATGTTTTAAATATGAAACATTTGCCGTTTACTGAGACCATAAGAACCTATATGTTTGGACAGTCTCAAATCTTATCTTCCATGATTCAATTTGACTCTCAAGGTCAAATGCTTTAGCTACTTCACTTTAACTTGTAACAGTCGTATTAAAATCCTGAGCTCACAACAGAAGCATATGCGACCTCAAAACAATGACATAATCCACCTCATCCACGATGATGATGATAAACGGCATGCATGCGCTGTGCATCAGTGATGAGCTGGTCAATGGCCAAGCCTGCAGTCGCTGTTACTGGATGAAAGTGGGTTAAGGGGAGAAAGGGTAGTGTGTCATTGGTCAAAGTGAAAAAAAGGTTGTTTACCATTGTGGTAAGGATGTACTTGTAGAAGGCTGACATCATGCCTAATTCTGAGGCCTAGAGAGAGGGAGAAATAGCAAGAGATATGCTGTAGCTACATCAGAAATCTAATCATAAGTCAAACTATTGTACATTGGCACAGTTGAGTCATGTCAGATCTGTTTTTCAGTTGTGTTGAATATAAAAGTCTGAAAAAACAAATCAGGTATTTAAAATCCCATTGAAACTAAATTTAAGTATTTTGGAAAATGTAAGTCAAGGATAAAAGTTATGACATAAAATAATCATTATTACATTAAAAGTACATATGATATATACTGTAAATATACTAGATTATTTTTTCACTTAAACTCATCAAATTGTATTTATAAACATTGAGAGAAAAGAAAATATTATTATATATACTGTAAATATCCAAGATGTTCCTTCACTTAAACTCATCAAATTGTATTTAAAAAAATTAATAATACAGAAAAAAACCAAAATATAATAATCTTTGTCAGTGGCCTCTGACTTTTGGACCCCTATATGAGCACACATACCTTCTTTAATATTAGTATTGACACTGATGCATTGGCATCAATGATAATAGTCGCAACTTTGTCGTCACGGATTTCCTTCAGCAGGGGGGTGGGGTCCAAATTTTCATCAAGCATTCTGACTGAGAGTGTTTCCCGGGATATAAGGAAGTGACGCACAAGCTCCTCCAATCGCAGCAGGCCTGAGATGTAGCATAAAATTCCAAATCATTATTCAACTATAAAAACATTGTCAACGTATATTCCTGGGCATTTGTGAAAAATTAGTAAAACTCTCATAAATATTATTAGAATTCTTTTACAATGACTGCATATCAGAATGGGCATTCAGCAAAAATATGTCATGTTGTGGTTAAAATAAATGCCATGTAACCATTTAAAACCTTTTAACAACTTTCATAAACTGTCAATTGCAGTAAACCTTACCTTTCTTTCCACCCTGCTCCTCTGTATTAAAGTCAGTGACTATCAAATTAAGTGACTTTGAGAGCCAATAAAGTTAATTCCGTATGTACATAAATTTGTGCCCTAGCCACCGCAAAATCCATATGGTGACTCCATTGATTTTGGACAGCAGTCAACAAGATGCACGGCTAACGATAACAGCAAGGTGAAGTGATGAAAGAGTGCTTTCTCAAAAAAACAAAAAAACTAACTCTGTGTGGTGGTATCCATGCTCTCTCGTACATCCACATCGGTAAAGAACCAATGTGTAGATGAGCACATCTATGCATGCTAATGCACGCAGAGAACTCGAACACATCTAACTCTGCACAAACTTAACCACCTGCATCTTAAACAGACAAATGCTCGCTTACACATTAACATGAGCACAGACTGTGATGATTATATGGAAAAGGATGGGATAAGTGCAGATATGCAAACAGCAGTAAACAGTGGTGCATAAAACCAAAGCACCATTACCCAGACCATACCAATCAAGCAAGAGCTGCTCATATCAGCAAGTCACGAGAGATCAACTCGCAGTGAGCATTGTAATGGCTCACATATGTTTCACTCTAGTGCGCTAACTACTTCTCATTAAGCTGAGTCAACAAATTTGTCTGCATGTTGACACAATCCTCAAAGTGATGTCCTGTATATCTGAATCTGAATAGCACTTTTCTTCTGACATCTGACATCACCTGAAAGCCAGATGTGCTTTTTAATTAAAAATGTTTCCAGTCCCTTCAACCGTGACTATAGTTTAACAGTTAAACATAGTTACATATGGTAAAATCCCATGCTATTGGTTTTATTTTTACCTTTATTCTACTTTTATCCTTTATTCAGTTTTTTTCAGATGAATAGAAAATGTTGCAAACCAAATTTGGACTCACGCTGCTCATATTAACACTATGAACTAATAATGCATGTGTGCTAACTGCTAATCCACAGCACCAACATGTTTCGTGAATAGAATGCAATTTTTATCATCACAATGCAGAAAAATTAATCCACATGTATAAAGCTAATAAAAGGTTTTATCTTATAAAAAAATATGTAATTTGCTGAAGCAGTGGCACCGATGTTAATAACATCATATAATAGGCACAGAGCCTAAGGATAATGCACTTATGTTAAAGATAAAATGAATTGCAGTGTGAAATGAATTGTAAAGGGTGCTGCGAACAGTGAATGGTTCAGTGTGATCTATAACAGCAGAATGAAAGAATGGCCAGTTCTTAGTTGACTGTGCTGGCGCTTTCCCTGCAGACTTACACTCTGCTTTGGCACAAATCAAGCTGGCCGTCGGATAACTGAAAGAGCGCAGGATGGCAACAATGGCCAAGCTTAAGTCCTCGTTGCTAGGATACAGCGTCACTGAGGCAAAGCGCAGATATGGCAAGCGTGGAGTCTCCTCTGGACCAATCTTGATGTGAGGGATCTGGGAGGAACAGACGATAGAAGAATAGATTGTGGGATTGACCAACATGGGGTTTTCAATGGCTGATGCCAATATCTAAAGCAGCGGTTTTCAATCTTGGTCCTGGAGACCGACAGCACTGCACATTTTGTGCGTCTCTCTTAGTTAACACACCTGATTCAGAACATCAGCTGGTTAAAAAGGAGCTCTGTGAACTAAACTGAGCATGTCAGGTATAAAAGAGAGCCATACAAAATGCGCAGAACCTGAAAGGTTCAGGGTTTCCACAAACATATTAAGCAGCACAACTGTTTTCAACATTTGATCAAAATAAAATAATGTTTCTTAAGCAGCAAATCGGCATATTAGAATGATTTCTGAAGGATCATGTGACATGAAAATTCAGATTTGCATCACAGAAATAAATGACATTTTAAAATAAATTAAAATAGAAAAAACAAAATATTTTAATTTCTAATAAGATTTCACACCATTCAATTTTCTATCAGCTACATTGAGCATAAGAGTTTTCCTTCCAAAAAATCCCATGAAATGTGAATCTATGGTTGTTTTGAAAGTAGCAGATACTTTTATATACCGATGATCTCATTTTTTTTTTTTTTTAATTTGACATACACCTTCCAGGTGCACCCTAGACACATCATCAGTGATGTTTACCTGGGGTCATGGGTCATTTCGGGTCTTTCAACATCATACACCCTCGCCCAGGCGACCCAGCCAGGGGTGATCAGTCCCCGACTTGTGTCTAGGTAGCTTGTGTAGTCCACGGATCGCCCCTTTTGATCCACAGCCATCTTGATGCCTTCTCCGCGGCATCCGTGATGTTCCTGATGGCTTTATTCTTGTGCAGTCCCCTGATTCCCAAGAGCTTGAGGGCCCCGCACAATGACTGGCTGGCAAACCCTCGGCAGCCAACCTCAATGGGGAGGCAGCGGGTCTTCCATCCCCTGTTATGGCATTCACCTGTCAACTCCTCATACTTGGCTCTCTTCCGTTCAAATGCCTCTTCCATCCAGTCTTCCCAGGGCACAGTCAATTCCAGTAGAACCACCTGCCTTGATGATTCTGAAAATAGGACCATGTCAGGCCTAAGTGTGGTCGTGGCGATGGTTTCTGGAAATCTGAGCTGCCTTCCCAGGTCAACCTTTAGCTGCCAGTCTCGAGCTGTTGTTAGAAGTCCCCCCGCTGAGTTCCTGCTCCCTTGTGGTTTCTCTCCCGCCTTAACAAATGTGATTGTGTGCTGTACTGGCTGCTGGTGCTTGCTGAGAGAGATTCCGGTACTGATGGTTCCAGCAATTACCCTTAGCACCTGGTCGTGGCGCCACCGATAACGTCCCTCTCCCAGCGCCTTAGAGCAACAACTTAATATGTGCTCCAGGGATCCTCTTTTTTGGCACAGGAGGCATGCAGGGGTGTCTTTCAGGCCCCATGAGAAGAGGTTATACAAATCCATTGTATTTAGCCAAAAATAAACAATTATAATCATGTTACAAACTACCATTTCTATCATAATTAAAATTCTAAGCAATTCATAACTGAATTTTTTTAAAAACAGTTTAACTAGACTTTAGACTTTGAATGTTGTCTTAAAGACAACATTTGTTAAAAGTTTAACAAATAGTTTAAAAAGTCTTGAGGCTTGAAGAATTTAAAGGCCTTAAGGATAGAATGACTGATCGATCGTTGAATGATTGTTGGCTTTTTCTTTGAAACTCTGCCTAAAAAGCCAGCATTGTTTTATTTTTTTATTTATTTCCAGGTTTCAATTTTATTGAATTTTTAGTGGTATTAAAAGTGCGTGTGTATGAATATAATACGATTTAATAACAATAAATTAGGTGTACAGAAAAAGAAAAAAATTAAATGCACATTCATTTTACACAATATTAAATTGTTAATTGCCCGAGTGAGCACCAAAACGGCCAGATATCGGCCAATTAATCATCCTGGCTGATATATCACTCTATCTCTAACCATGAGGAAGGAGAAGAGAGAGAAAATATGGGAAATTAGGTCAGAGGGGGAGATGCTTTTCAAGCAGCAAAGCAAAGGCATGCAAGAAATAATGGCCTGTGGCTGAGGAGCAGTGCAAATTTATAATTTCAAGAAATGCTCTCACAGACACATACGAAACGCACTTCCTTTCATTCTCACCTCTTTTTCCCCACATATATGACTGACGGTGGATCCGGAAGCGGGACTAGAGGCAGGACCAATGACAGAGACCACTCCCTTTGGCAGGATCTGACACACTGAGAGGGGTAAAGATGTATCATTAGAAAGAGACAGATAAATAGAGGTACCATGAGAGAGAGAGAGAGAGCGGGGTGATAGAGCAAGACAGTGACTGAATGAGAAAGGGGCAGGGTAAAGACAGACAGACATTGCAGTGGGCAGAGAAAAAGCCAACATCTTGGATGCCGTCCAGTTGTGTGTCCTGTTCCTAGATGATATATCAAATTAGGAGTCAATGCAAAGCTCTTTTTGATTAATTACATCAGTAAGCACAACACAGATTTATGCTCTGCCTACAGGAGATTGCTGCTCTAATTCTACACAAGAATGAGGGAGAGAGAGCACACAGGGTGTACATTTAGATGAAAAGATTTTTTTTCTTGCTTGCTTTTCAACTGTGTTGTATTGAAATGTTCAGGGCACTGTGCATGTGTGACATGGGTATGTAATTCATTTTGAATCAAATGAAAATCTTTTATCCTGTTTCAGTCACATGCTGTGACTGTGAGAGTGTGTTATCAGTCCATTTCAGTCCAATGATTAAAGCAAACTTGAATTAAAAATTGACTCTATTTTTTTTCTTTCTTTACCCTGTGTTCTTGGTGTTATTGTGCACACTTCAGCAGTACGTTATTCTAAAAAAAAAAAATTTTTTTTTCAAAATGTAATCACTTTCTCCAATGAAAATAATGTTAATCAACAGGCAAATGGCTTAAAAACATTAAAGAAAAAAATGTAAGCATTACTTTAAATTCAGGATTTAATCTTGCCAATAGTTAATTTAAATTTGGTTACAATAACAGTGTAATATAATGTAATATAATAACTATTAATTAATAATAATGATTATACTAATTAAATATACATTTGAAAAATAAATCATCCATACTTGACCTTGAAGCTTGACTTTCTATTCAAAAAGCATCCTCTAAACTCCATTTTGGTATGGAAGGCCCACTTTTTAATACAGTCAAATAATTGGAAAGTAAAAATTTAAATAATAATAATAATAAAACAAAGTTTAAAGAATTAACGAAGCCTGTGTTTTAGACTACTTTTGTAGATAATTCAGCATTAAATCTTGCCAATAGTTAATTTACTTCCAGTTAAAAAATAAATAAATTATATATATATATATATA